GGGTGTGAGTGGTGTGGTACGACAGTTTGAGTCAGAAAGAACAAGAAGCCAGTCTGTCATTTTGATTTTCACTCCAAAGATGTCATAGATATCACTGTGTGACAACATAAAACTTGACCGCTCCCTCCTTGTGTGTCTCTGGAGATGCTGGAATATAACCCAGGCCCACTTCTTCAAGGAACATCATGTCTAAGTGTGTACTCCCTTGGGTTTCTCTGAGTCTGTCCCTGCTTTCTCTCCTCTCTGGGCAGCACTGAGCGCCCATTTGTCAGAGCCTGGCTGCCAGCGGGAGCCCAGAAGGCAGTACCAGATTTGTGTGAGAACGAGAGAGGAGTGAAGTGCAGCTTTGGTTGTTGGTGAAACCAGATGGGTGAGGGAGCAGTGAGATGGGAGAAGAGGAAAGAAAGAGGGAGATGCAGTGTGACAAGCTCTCTGCAAAGTAGGGATGGAGACTACAAACTTTTCATTCTCAAGAGTGTTTGTGTTTTCATCATGTGTTCCCCATTGGAAATACCAGAGCTTTGATAAATACTCAGATTTTAAGTAAATTCTGTTCTACCATGGTTTTGTTTACTTAAAGCGGTCATATTACACTATTTTCTGATCTAGTTATAATGTTGTTTCCTCATCAAAAACAAACCAGGAGATGTGTTTTGTTTTATTCACACATGTTTAACTCAATAATCCTGCATATTTAGGGAGTTCTTCTCTCAAACAGAAAACACTCTGTTCCACCTTGTGATATTATCAGCACACTCAAATAGTTTATCTCCGTGTGATAAAATAAGTAATGATGCTAACCCTAACCCGATCTTATCCGTATGTGTAAATGACAAGAAGAAACGTCTCAAACTTCAGTAGGCGGACATCCACTCATACCTGATTGATAGAACGAGCCTAGCCACCGAAAGAGCCTGAAATCTGCTGAAATCCTACAAGGCACTGTCATGATACAGACAGGACAGTGGCTCTTTCTGCAGGAGACATGCGCAGGGGAGAGACGGAGGTGATGCGCTGAGGAAGATGCTTGTTTGATTTTTTTTGAACAGTTATTTTGTGCTTCATACACACACCCTCCTCATGAAAAACACACGAAGAAATGCAGATGAAGCAGCTTTTAAGTTAACGGTGATTGATGTGGCTGTGGAAGAAGGAAACAGAGCTGCTGCACGTGAGCTCGACATCAATGAGTCGATGGTGAGACGTTGGCAACGGCAGCCTGACGAACTGACTCAATCCAAAAAGACGACAAAAGCTTTCAGAGGCGATAAAAGCAGATGGCCCGAATTTGATAACGTTCTTGAAAACACCTGCGGCTTATATATGTACAATTTTAAAATATTGTTAAAATTTTGGTTGATGCGGCTTATTTTCAGGTGCGCTAAATAGTCCTGAAAATATGGTAATAATAAAGAGTTACTCAAACGTGTGTATGAAACAAAACACAACGCCAGGTCTGTTTTTGAAGAGGTACAAAGTTCAAAATTATCTTTATTGTCAATTCCTTCACCTGTTATAGACATATAAAGAAATCAAAATTACGTTTCTCTCTGTCCCATTCGTAGACAAGACAGGACAAAGCATTTACGTGCACAGACACAACAAATAACATTATTTCTAACCACTACAATAATCATAGATAAACAAATTAAGATAGATTAAGACTAGTGTACAGTACAGTTCAAGTCAGATCAAGCAGCAGTAATAAAAGGCGGTTTCTTATGTGTGTCAAGGGCAAATTGTAAACAGTGCAAAAGGCATATAATAGTGCAAGGCTTTTTTTGGGCGGGTCAGGGATAGTCTGAGTCCAGGTGTTCTTTGGGGAGTTTTGTTCTTGGGGAGGTGAAGATTCCTAGCTTCCAGGCCAACATTGCTTAAAGTTATAGCAATTAAACTTAATATTGGACCTTTAAATGTAAGTGTATTGCCAGTATTATAATATCACTTTAACATGATGTAGTTTTGTATTTCTATCTCATGTGGTTGTGTGATGAAGTGCTAGATTAAACTTGTGTTATTTGCCTGCAGTTTTTATGGAACCTTTTGTTTTGTTTTGTTTTTGCAGGCGTCAAACAAAACACTGAAAATGTGAAATGAAACACTTTCACATTTTCACCTCTCCAACAATCTAAAGTGGCTCTCAGTGTGTCCTCAAACCAGCGAAACAGGCAGGATGATAGACAGCGGCAAAATGGACAGTTAACTATGTATATCAAGTGAGGTCTCACACTTGAATCACCAAGAGAGTTAGAAATGAAAAGGCTAATGTAAAATATTAAAACTTTGGAAACAAACTTCTCAAGAACATTTTCTTCCACCCTTCTAACCAAAACGCCAGAGCTGCTGCTAAAAGTGAGCTATGCGGTGCCTCTAAGCTCCACAAGGACGTGGCTGTATGAATAATTAGAGCCTTCTAAAGCTGTCTGCTTATTGCTGTTTGACAAGAGGACAGAGCCAGACTGAAATGGGTTTACTTAAAACCCACAGGAAATCTATTAAAAGCTTTACATAAGGGATATTTACACAGTGCCTTCTGCTGCACTGCTTTAACCCCTGTCTTTCATCTTTACTGTCACTTTCCACTTTGTTGTTTAAAAATCTTGTCTTCACTCTGCATATATTGGCTCACAAACGCAATCGAAACACTGCGGTGTTTTAGACTGACGTGTTTGCCCAACAAACGCTCATACATTAATACATGAGGCGTGGTGATACAGTGGATTCAGTGACGGGTCAGATCTGGTGAGGGGAGGGCACTGGAGCGCTGGGGTCAGACCATCTGCTCTGTCCCTGTGATACTGAGGAGCGTGACGCCGTCTGTCAAATGTGCACTTCTGAACTCACAGCAAGGCGTTTACTTTAATCTTGAAAAACTGCTCCCAGCTGATCAAAGTCAGTCTGTTTTTAGTAATCACAATTATTTTATCATGTCTCCAACCTCTGTGAGAGTTTGTGCTTGTGAGCGTGCTGTGAACAAATCATACGGCGTCAGTTTTATGTTTTATGTTATGGGAAACATTTCATCTCATTTATGGAAGTCACTTTGGTCTCAAGGAGTCAGTTCTACAAGCGGCAAACAGCTCATCTCCACCTCAGTCACATGACCTGCCTGTCGCTCGTACTTTCTGAATGCAGAAGGTCAAACAAGCAATGAGACGTGTTTCTCAAATGCAGAAGACATGTCCTCTCAGATATTCATGTATCATTCAAAACCACATGTTTAATTTTTTATACCTCATGTAGAAGCCAAAATGTACCTCCAGCCTGTAGGTGTCACTGGTTAAAAGTTCAGACTCACCTGTGCCTATAGGCTCTATTAATGTTTACGGCATAAACCAGGAAGGCGTTTGGAAACATGCGATGGCAACTACCGGCGGGCTCTGTTCACGATAGTAAGTTTGGCAAAATCTTGGAAAAATGAGAAAATGGCCCAGTTTTCTTCATCTACATGTCTTTGTAGTGTTACAGCCTCAGCTCAGGAGACCGCAACAAAGAATGGGGAACACAACAACCGCAGAGTTTTTAACCCGTCGAGAGGGCATGAGTTTAGAGGTCATGGCGGTGTGGCGGCATGACAGGCCCGGTGAATGGGGTGGAGCAGGAGGAGCCGGAGGAGAAGAGTGGAGAGGGAGACGTGCGCCCGCAGGCCTTCTATCCTCTCGTGGTGATTGGGGGTGGAGCTGGCAGGCAGGACAGGGACACCTGGAGGGAATGAGAGAGAGAGCGGCAGGGAGGGTGCGACCTGGGCCGTGACAGCAGCGTTCCGTTATGTTCGGCTAGTCAACAATTACGATACCCAACCATACTTCAGTTTTCATCATTTTCCCACTGACACATGACTCCGAGCGCACTGGGTACATCCGATTAGAAGAGACGAGTCGCCAAATTCAAGATGATTCCAAACAGCACATACGTATGCAGTCTTCATTTTACCGCTGATCACATTTACTTCAGTGGGTTTTATCAAAGTCGGTCAGTGAGCCCAGTGTCTGTAACTACACCGGAAGTTGTCATCACATGTTTTCAGACATCTTCTGGTTTGTAACGTAAACGTGAATAGAGCCTAAAGGTGAGGTAGTTAGTGCAGCAGGTGTTGTATATGTGAAAATGAACAGTTTTTTGATTGTGTTAAAATATATGGAAATAAGGAGCTTTTGAACTGCATCTCTTTGATAATGATTCTACAGAAATCTGCAATATTTCTCAGTATTTTCTTTTCTCTTTTACTCGTAACCCACCTTGTTTGTTTCGACACGAGTGGACCATGCATTTCTCTGATTAGTTAAGCCGCCTCTCACTCACTCCTACTGGGCTTGGCGTAAGACAGGAGACCCCCACGTCTTTGTAAAGTATTGTGAAAGTGTGTGCTCTTGACCAGGCTACTGACTTAGACCTTTCCAATATAAAGTAAGGTCAATGCAATCACAGTCTGAAACAAAATAAACATCAATACGACGTGACACAGAGCACACGTTGTTGCATAGAAAATTAATTTTCCGTGACATCATTGACAAGCCACTTTTTCCCCCACTGGCCATAGGAGACTCATCTTTTCTGTGTAGAAGCCTTGTGTGTGTGTGTGTTTGGGGAAAGTATACCCCAAGGCGGACCTCTCTCTCCATCTGTCCTTGCAGTGTCCTGTGATTTCCCAGCGTAATTCAGACAAATGTCACAGTTTAGACGAGGGATGAGAGCTGCAAACTCCACACATCCTCATCACATCCTCCCCGTGCGTGCTCCCTTCTGGTGCTCTCGCTCTCACCTCGCTCATTCAAAACTGCCACAATATTCAAGGCTCCGTGCTCCACTCGCAGCTCTACCACAGAATTCATTTTTCACGCTCCCAGGCAAAATGTCATGGATACAGACCACAAAAACTACAGCAGTGGTTATAGTGGAAGTCTCTTTTAAACTGGACATTGGCGAGCAGGCATGAATGAACGTCTGTGTGTCATAGCAATTTTGTGTGCACTAAAGGCTGTTATTTTTGTGTTTTGCAGTTTAAAGGCCAGGCCAATCTGCATGTGTTTGAGGACTGGTGTGGTTCGTCTGTGGCACAGCTACGAAAGAATTTGCACTTTCCTCTTTACCCCCATGTAAGTATTTTAGAAACAAAGCGAATGTTGTATGTGAGCAATATATGAAAAAAAAAAAAAAAAAGATTTCCACATTGAAAAACTATGTATTTAAGGGGAGACACTGCAGGCAATTTTTTGGTTTTGGAACATACAAGCTTTCATGTGGAAACAACAGCATTTCCCACTCTGCACTGAAAGATATATATATATATATTTTGCATACATATTTATTGCATTTTAGTTTAAATGAAATAATCAACAAAATAATAACAATACAAACAAAACAAACATTGGCCCATTCATGTATTAGACACAGATGCATCCATTTCAAAATGTAAATACGATATTCATAATAGTGAGGAGAAAATTCAGTTTGTCGAATGGACAAAAGTTAGTTTGGTTGAAGACGTTTCACAGCTGCGAAACGTCTTCAACCAAACTAACTTTTGTCCATTCGACAAACTGAATTTTCTCCTCATGGATTCTACCTGGACGACTGAGGGATTCTTGACACGATATTCATAATAGCTGAAATCTCAAGTCCAGTATACATCAAGAAAATGGTTCCCAAGTCTTCTTAAAAATATTGTCCGTATGATGAAGCCGAAACGTCAGGTAACCAAGAGAAACAAAACCAAAAACCATTGTCTGCCATCGAGTTTTAGCAACCCGTACAATTTTCTATTGTCCTTGTCCTATTTTCCTTGTTCTTCACAACAGGGTCAGTTACACCAAGTAATAAAAATAAGAATTATTAGTCAAATTTACAGTCAGATTTTTTTTTTTTTTTGTATTTCTTGTCCACTTATTTGCCATAATTGATTCACTTTTGAACAAGACCAAAAACAGTGTGTAAGGTTGTGTACCAGTCTCGCTCTTGCACTTCAAACACAGTGGTGAAGAGCTGGGTTTAAATTTATTACGTCGATATGGGGAGATATGAGCTCTGTGTAGAATCACAAGCTGAGTTGCTTTAACCCTGTTGCAAACACACAGTGTTTTCTCACTCATCATCAGTAATTGTACAGCTAAGTTCGCTCTCCCACAGTCACTGAAAGATATTTTAATATTTAATTTAATCAATCTGCAGCCGTAGACTTATAAAGGACATAGGGACCTAAGGACGTAAGGTCCAGCCCTTAGTGAAGTAAGTAGTGCCTACATACATCAAACTGTCCAGTCTTTAGCTTAGAGTTTGATGAAACATGAAAGGATTTTTTTAATATATTTTCCAAGGCTGATTTATTCAAGTTTTAACTCAAAAAAAATGAAGAGAAATTAGAATTTTTAGGCAAATTTTCTGAAAGTTCTGAAAGCAAAGTTTACTGAAATACTAAATCAAATCCAAAATCCTCTCTGCATATTTTTTGTGTCTAATATGTCCACAAAAAAGCAAGAAATTTAAACCTGGCTTCATTCATGTCTCTGTTTTTAATGGTTAATTTTTGCCTTTTTTTTTTACACATAAAATGCCTTAGTTTTATATGAAAACCTTACACGATGAAAAACTTGTAATATATTTTTTCTTACATTTAGCAGAAGTCAGAAAGTCTCACTGATACTTCTAAATTTAAGACTTTTTCCTGTTCCCATTCAGTGTCTCACCTTGTTCTTATTAAAGCCTGAACTTTTGAATTCTCATGTAAAATTTTCACTCTTACAGACGAGGACCACAGTGAAGAAACTGGCAGTGGCTCCAAAGTGGAAGAACTACGGCCTGAGAATCTTCGGTTTCCTTCACCCTTACAGAGACGGTAACTTAGCTCATCTTATTAGTGGTTCACTCCCGGGGCTTTGCTGCAAATGTCCTTTCTAGGAGAAGACAATTTCCCAATTCTCTTCTAATGAAAGCACTTGAGAGTAGCTAATATAGTGGATTTTCTCTTTTTATTAGAAGTGAATGCCAGAGTTCTGCTGCTAAATTTCAGCACAATACTCTCCTGACCTCTTCTCCAGAACCATTAAGTGAGGCTCAAAGGTTATCCTATATCCAAGATTCAGACGTGACCAACAAGAGCCCTTCACACGAGTCCACCTGACACAACCTTTTGTACAAGCCCACTTAAATAATGGTCAAAGACTTAATCAGTACAGCAGTGTCATTTAGAACCGCAAAGTTATCAGTTATTTTTACAGTGTTAAAGGTGCACTATGTAACTTTTTGGTTGTGGGTCCGTCACCTTCTTGTTTTTGTGGATATGTCATTGCTCTGCCTGAAATGTTCCACAGTATGATCTTAAACAGAGCTGCTTTACATTTATTCAATTACAGGTGGTTTTATAGCTCAAAAATGCAAAGAAAAACAGGCATTTTGACTGTGAGTGGGGTCGCCTCTCCACAGATCTGACCCGTAACTTGTACGGTTTCGTCTCCATGAAGATACCACACTGTGAAACGTTCCAGTCAAAGCAAGAACATCTTCATGGAGAAAAGGATTTGACAGAGCCTCCACCGGAAAATTTACACAATGCACCTTTAATGTAATAAAATGTGTGATTCACGGCCATATTTTTGTGTTTTTGTATCGATACTTCACAACTAGGGGTGTAACGGTATCCAAGTCTCACGATACAATATCGTCACGGTATGAACCTCACGGTACGATATTTATTTCGATATTGTGGGAAAGGTCACGATATGGTGGGGAGGCTCACGATTACAGATGTAACAATATCCAAATCTCTCTGTACGATATTTTCACGAAATACATCTCACGGTGCGATATTTTGTGGAGGTGAAAAAAAATGAATATGCTACTTTTTCCTCTTAAAATGCTTTGACAAGACTTAATCCAAAGAACTAAGACTTAAAAGTGCTTAGAACTGTTCTTTCTTCTTGTAGTCTATACTGAAATGGAGCAAAGGATCATGGTCTATGTAGTTCCCTCTGCACCATAACTCTTAATTTAAGCAAAGACACTTGTAATTCGATATATTGTGATGGTCCACGATATTATTGTGAGAAATTTGACGATACAGTATCACGATATTTCGGTTATTGTTACATCCATGTTCACAACTGATGTCATTAACATTCTTTGGGGGTGTGATGCTAACTGTAAGCACTGCTCTGTCTGAAGCTCTGTTACTCAAATTAGATATTAATATGAGTTTTAATTTAACACAATCTGACCAGAAAGGGCTGAGTTAGTTGGGACTATCCCTGCACTTCTGTTAAATGTTGTTAATCCATAAATCTGAGTCAGTTCTCCCGACAATCCGTTGTAATTGCGTTCCATTACAACAGTTGGGGAAAACATGAACGCCCGAGAAAGTTTAATGTTTATTTTGTTATCTTATGAATCCCATATATGGTATGGCAGGAGTCTAAAACCTGTAGCTCGAGAACTACCAGTAGCTCTTCACCCCCTTCCAAGTAACTCACCAGGGGATTTCTGAATTACACGTACACGTACACACTGTGCTCAGTAAGTAAAATTTGATGAATTAAATGCTTTTTACCATTGTACACATATCATTTTGATGCCTAACTTTGTACACTAATAAATGGTTTAATGGTTTATGTTTTATAGGCATCTAACTGTACCTCATCTAAGTCTCGCCGTGGCTCTTATATATGCTCAGTTTCTTGTGAGCGCTAAAACTAGTAGCTCTCTGGCATTTTTGTTTTATAAAAGTAGCTCACCAGAGGAAAAAAAATGGAAACCTCTGCAGTCTGTAGAACAATATTTGGGACAGGCGCCATATAAACTCACTAGATCTACATCCGATTCTCAAAGAACTCAACCCTCTGACTGAACCCTGAAGTAGATAACGTCAGGTATCGATAGGTCCTACTAATAAACCATCTGTTCACTAATTTTAAAGCGGTTGGTGACTCAATTATGGCAGTTTGACTTTTACATGTTCAGAAAAAAACTGTCTACTGTCAAATGATGTGAAAGAAAGTCTAAATGTCACTAGAAAGTTTTTAAGAAGACACTTTCTCTACACGTGCAGACCTTAACGCATCAAAATGACGAAAAGACAATTCTCCCCGGTTACTGTGTGCGCTGACATTTTTGCTGTGACGAACTAGCCCGAGTTTGTGTTTCGGAACCTCGATTTGATTGGCCGTTCCATTGCACTTTCTCGAGGTGGAGGTCGGTTTTCCCCGTGTCCTGAGCACAAGAGAACGCAGCAAACAATAGGCGATTTGATTTGTGCTTTTAAACAAGTTTCTCACACATAAACTTACATTCACAATCTATAGCATTAGGCAACAGTTTTTCAGTTAGTCACACTCATATTTTTGTCGAAAATCAAACACCTAAATAAATTATGACCATGAACACAGGCTCACAGGCTCCTGAAAATGTGTTGTTTAAATCCATTTTGTATTTTTTCTTGAGTTTTTTGGCTGTCTTTGCGAATGTTGTCTCTGCAAAATATCTATTGATTTGTGTTTTGTGTTTTTTTGTTTTGTTTTTTTTGTCCTATGAACCCAGAATTGATTTTATTGTTTCATTCTTTTCTTTGGTCCTTTAGGTGACTTCCAGTTCTCTGTGTTCGTCCGACGATAATTCAGAGTTTTGGCTGAGCTCCGATGAGAGTCCTCTGAACGCTCGCCTGCTCGTCTATGTGGGACAGGTAAGGATTATTTTATTTTAACTCCACCACAGCATGACTAAAAAGTACTACGAGAGACGAGAACGAGACAAGACAAGAGTTTGACAATCTTTATAATAAATAATTTGTGCAATCCAGTTCCCAATTTACTTTAATATTTTTTGCTGTCATTGAGCTGTCATTTTTTGGGACTACACCTTCGCAAAAATGTAACTCACCAGTACTTAACTCAGTTTTTGTATCCAATCCAACGTAAAAACATGGGATAGAAATCTCTTGAGATCATCTTCAGCATGTGTGCACAATCTCGTGGCAATTTTGTCTCGCAAGATCTTCCCGTTCTTACTAAAAAGTGTTTCTACATTATTTATAATCAACAAACTTTATTGATCCGCAAGGGAAATTATTACATAAAAACTGGAAGGGTATTTTTTGTGGTAAATATTTATCTTGTCTACATTTTCTTTGCTCTGCTGTTACATTTTTGGTTATTTTTTGGCAGAGTTAGTGAAGTTAGTGTATCCATAAAAGGTTGAATAAATAACTTCTATGACTCATTTCAGATGCAAACGGAGTACTAAGCGTTTCATTCTGCTGTTTATGTACTGCAGTTTAAGCTTTTTAACAATATTGTGCTTATTGTGTTGTGTCAGTGGCAAATTAGTTTCAGTGTTATCATTTTTCAACCGTATTTTCTTCTCCGTTATCGTGACAGGCCAAGCAAACGTGGTAAAACTACTAGACTCGAATCTTCTTTATTCTTCATAGTCATCCTAATATAGTTCTGCTGCTTTTTCAATTCCCCGTCATGACTTAATCACAGAAACAGTGTAAATACAAAGAAATGTCTGCAGAAAGCTGTGAGCAATCTAATATGGCTGTATAAATACGACTGGTAATGGGTTTGCAAAGGTCAGACGCTTTTGTTACATTTCTTTGTGCTGACAGACGTGTTGAAATGCTCAGTCGTGACCGCTTCAAAATGTGAGCCCTTTATTCTCCGTGTGCTCCACCGTCAGCGGGAGGGACACTGAGCGATTTGACCTTGTTCTGTGTTAGTAATCGGCTGCTGGCCCCGTGGTACCGCCATGACACGGGGCTATCACTCATCACAGCAGACAAGAGTGCGGCGACAAGGGACCAATATGCGGTGCTCTCCTGTAGAAAATGCAAATGTAGTAAGTAGTTTCATATCAAAGTACATGCTTTTGGCTGGAGATAAATGCTGTAGATGTGGCTAAGCTGTTGTACATGTCCGATATTAGGGATGCAATGATCTGATACTGAAAAAAATGCAGTTATGTGTGTGTGTAAAGGAAATAAAAGTTGTTTTCAGTCTCTTCACTGGGCTTGTAAGTCGCTGTGTCATAATCCAAGCTGCAGCCACGCCGAATTTGGCTCAAATGATATACATGTAAAAATGCTGCAGTGTTGTGTACTACAGTGCGGATCAGGCCGAATTTTTCTGTCTGAGCCCGGCCCCGTCCCACAGAGCAGTGATCGAATCCGACCCGAGCCCAATAGGCATTAAGATATTTGTGTCTGAACCCGACACAGTTAAAATCACACTATTTTCATAGGCCGACTAATGACACATGTAGAATACTGTTTGTTTGGCCTCTAACGGACACAGAGACGCAAAATACAAACTCGGGATATAGCGAAATTTCTAAATATAATGATAAGACTTACTCACCTACTCACCTCTCATAAAGTGGTAATTTAAAGTGCAGCGTCTCATCCACATTATCCACAGAAATTGTGCAAACAATGACATCCAGTCCACAAAACCGTTCTATTAATCCAGTTTATGGTGTTCTTTAAAAGTAAAAAGGCGAAAGTAGCCTCCCACGTGTGCTACATCCACACAGCGCACTCCTACTTTCTGTGTGCTTTATCTTCAATCTTTTATGCTTTAAAAATCATATATCTGAAGTTTTGCACCACATTTCACAAATAATAATAAGACAGTTTTGACTTGTATTTTAACTAAAAGTGCAGTGCTCTGATCTTTTGAAGGCTTTTGAGTGTTCACTGTAGCCAGGAAACAGCTGACATGCTGATGTGTCCGAGTCCGAGCCGAGCTCAAACATAAGTCCTAAATATTTGTCCAAACCCGTCTCGTTGGGCTTCCGTTGGGTTTCCATGCTTTCGTTGGAACCTCACTAAAAAAGAAGGTGATGGTGAAAATGTTCACCTCTATGATTTTGAGCAAATGTTTCATTGGACCTGGAAGTCGTGTGTGACCTCACACTTACAAGCCGAAGAGCATGGAATTCGGTATCTGAACAGAAAAAGCTGGAGTGTTGTTTCTTAATTTGCAGCTGGACCTGTGGTATCACCATGACACGGATCTATCACTTATTACAGCAGACAAGAGTGAGACGACAAGGGACCAATTTGCATACGGCTGGGTGGGTATTATTAAGAAGTTGCTGATACACAGGCCACGATATGATACATATATTGATGCAGTGCACTTTTGATTCTTTACAATTCTATATGATATATTTCAAATTGATTCAATATGGTTCAGTAAAAACAAAGGCTAAATCATGACTGTGATACTAAATGTCTTTGTTAAACCATTTCCTGTGCAGAGTTCATATGAAACACTCACTTTTTAATCATCAAAACAGTGAATATGTCAAATGTGTTTCCCTCCTCTAAACAAGCAACGAAATTGTAGCAATGTCACAAAACACCTTAGTAAAATATACCAAACAATACTCAGATACGACCATGATCTTGATCCTGTGTAATCAAATAAAGCAATACGACATATGGATATTTCAATATTTTTGCACCTCCCCAGTGTGCAGTGCTCTTCTTTAATAAAATGCATATGTATGAAGTATTGTCATACCGAAATACACTCATGCTTTTATCTGAAGATGATTGCTGTAGATGTGGCTAAGCTGTAGTAGATGTCCGATATTAGGGCTGCACCGATCTCATACTGAAAAAAATATAATAAAATAATCAAAAATTAGTAAAATAATACAATTTAATTATACAAAATAATACTTTTTTCAATTATATAAAAATGTATAAAATAAGACTATTTACTGGTCATAGTGGGCCCAGAAAGTCTCTTAACATTTGACGTTTTATTCATACAAAGCTGTAAATAACAGCAACATAACACATTTGGATCAGTTTTGTTTTATTTTTATGCAAAGGAATTAAATGCTGTTTTCAGTCTCTGCACTCGTATCGTCTTATTTCATTGAAGAATTGGAACGGAAAAGCTGAAAGAGTGCATTCCTATCCGATGTCCTGGGTCCTTCTCCCACTTTATAAATCTTGTTGTTTTATTTTTCTTGAGTTATGTTGTGTTAGAATTAAAATGGGCAGTGGGTGTGAAACCAGTGCCAAATAATCTGGCTTTCATAGAGACGGATGATGCTGTGGTGACTTTGGCTCAGTCGGTAACCTCCATTTTAAGTTGCTTTCCAGAACCTCTTTCACAGTGTATACTTCAGTTTTGTAGTATCTGTGTGATGTATTGTAAATAAGAAAATATACGCAATAAATTATAATACTGAAATTAATTTATATCACTGACACAGTAACTCGAGAGCAGATTTAAACCACAAAAACTATTCTAATGCTACAAAAGTGTTAAAAATCATGAGCTGCAATAAATAAATAGCAGAATGAAACACCTTAGTACTTCGTTTGCATCTGTAATGAGTCAGAGAAGTTATTTATTCAACCTTTTAAGGCTTAAATCTTATCCTATAGTCAAAAAATAACCACAAATTTCCCAGTAGTGCACATAAAAAGTGTACATTATAATAATTTACTCCAAAAAATATTGTTCCATCTGTCATATATTAATACTTTGCAGCTGATGTCACCAACATTCCCTGGGGATGTGACACTAACTGTAAACATTACTCTTTCTGAAGCTCTCTTTTTCAAGTTACACTTTTATTTAAGTTTTATTTTAACTCAATCTGACCAGAAAGAGCTGTTTAGTTGGAACTACAAAAGGTTTTCCAGTTAGTCACACTCATCTTTCTGTTGAAAATCAAACGCCTAAAGAGGACCAACTCGCAGTGATCGCGGGCTTTTGAAGATGTCCATTTTGGGGTTTTTTCTCTTGAATTTTCAGACAATTGTAAAACGTTTTTGGCTGTGCTTGCTAATTGTGTCACCACGGTAAATATTAGGGATGGGATGAGATACAATTTCCACAAGACGAAATGAGACACGAGATTGGATACAAGAAAGATTTTGACATTGTTTAGGCTATAATAAATACTTTGCGCATTTCAGTTCCCAGTTTTAGTCTCACCATCTTTATTTACAGTACTCAGGGTAGCCGCGGGATCTTAAAAGTCTTAAAAAAGGTCTTAAATTTCATGTTTCTAAATTAAAGGTTGTATAGAGGATTTTCCAAGGAACGAGAAATCCAGCGACTGTTTGTCCTATTTCAAATGTTGCGCATGTGTGAAACCACCCCCCTCCCCCACAGCTCCTACGTAGAAACGCCTCCTCCCTCCTCATCCTTATGCCAGAAACCGGTGTGCTGCACATGACTTGTAACAAACTAACTACAGTGTTGGTTAGGCAAGGCGGAGAAGTGAGGAGCGAGGGGAGGGGGTGCGCGGATATTTCGTGCGCGGACAAGAAGTGAGAAGCAGGGCGAAGAACGGAGCAGGGAGTGAGGAGAGAGGAGAGGAGAGGGGAGCGGTGCGTGGAGATTCCGTGAGGAGCAGGGAGAAGAGCGGAACGGGCAGAGAGGGGCGCAGAGATTCCGTGCGAATGAACTAGCTACTACTACAACACGCAGCAGCAAGCGGACTCTTTCTTTGCCTTGAAAATTAAGTTTTCAGACATAGGATATCGCATTCGTGTCCTGAAAAACGTTTGTCTAGCTCTTGGAAATAAAGTACGTTTTCATAATAAGCAGAAGTTTCCTGTCCAGGAGTAATTTGTGGACCAGTGTGTCAGTCTTTAGACCCTGCGTCTGCTTCAGTCGCGCCATCGCTGGAATGAATCTACAAAATCAC